GAGACCTCAGAGTTTCAGTGGATGGCAGTGGCACAAAGGGCAAGAAGCTATAAGTAGATCCCGTGCCCTCCAGTGATGGTCATCTCCTCAGGGAATGGCTGACGGTGCCTGCCAATTAGAAAGAGGGCCTGCTGATAGTACTTAAACCCCACCAGCTCATGGTTTATTTCTAAGATGTACTACTGTGCTGAATAATCCACAGGTTCTTGTAGAGGTTTCCAATCAAAAACAAAACATCTAACCCCCCCCCCACACTCAAATAAAACAACAAATGCAAATAAAATTAAAAATAAGGGAGAGGCTGTGACTCAATGGTAGACATCTATTTTTTTCTACAGAAGATCCCAGGTCCAGTCCCCTGGATCTCCAGTTAAAAGGCTCAGGTGAAGTGAAAGTCCTCTACCTGAGACCCCAGAGAGCTGCTACCAGTCAGGGTAGATGGCATTGACCTTGAATAGACTAAAGGTTTGATTTATTGCAAAGCATCTGTATGTGTTCATGTGATCAGTCCCATAGCCAAGATTTTCTGGCTTGTGGGGCAAAATTTTTACTGATGAGGCCGCCATTATTTGCCATAATGAAGGGGGGTGGCACGCGACCCTCTTCCTCCCCTCCTGTAAGATTTAAAGAGCCCTTCAGCTTATCAGCAAGATCACATGACGCACCGATCAGCTAGAGGGGCCCTTTTAATCTTGCGGGGGGGAGGGGGCATGGGCCACCCCCGCTTCTTCTCAGAAACATTTAGAGGATCCCTTTCAATGCTTTCAGAAAGAATCAGGGGGGGCTTGAAGGAAGGGGGCAGAGCCCCCAATAGCCTCACTGTCGCTACGGGCCAGCATGTGATCACTGCCACTCAGCAACCCAAGTCCCACTTGAATAAACACCTTCTTGAAGAGACAAGGGAATGAACCAGGAGGGATTCTCTCTGTAGGGAGCTACACACTGAGGCCCCCACTATCAAAAGGTCTGGAGAGTCTCTCATCACACTTCAGAGAGCCAGGTATATCCCATTACCTCAACAGTAGCCCTCCATCTCTATCTCATTTCTCTCCTTCTAGATTTACTTATTTTGTTCCAATTTATACACACTGTATTTTGCTTTGAAGACTGTACGGTTTCCTTTTTTTTAACCTTAACATCCTAATACCTCTTCTTCACTTTTATCATTCATGAGGAACATAAATTTAAAAACTAACACTACCAAGTTAACCTAAGAGAATGGGGAGAAAAAAATTTGTCCCAATATCTAAGTATCCTCTCTTATCAAAATTAAATTTTTAACAACAAGAAAACAAACATTATTAACTAGTTTATAACAATTAATAGGGGAATTATACTTTCAAAGATTAATTAAAGCAACAGGTCAGGAAAAACATCCTTTTTACACTTGTATATAGTTTCTTCTCTTTGTATTGTCAACATTACAATCACAAATCTAACAGTTTATAGCAGTTAGTAACAAAATCATATTTTCTCCAATACAGAATCAAAATTCATAAATTCATAAAATCAACCAATCCCAAAAATCGCATTTCTACACACTATATCCTCCTCATTTCCCCCCCCCACCTAACCCTTATTTTATATTAAATCATCTTTTCTCCAATACAGGTTTAATAATGAAAAGTTTAAATTTTTAAGAGGAGGGAAACAAACATTATTACCTAATTAATAACAAATAATAACAGAGTCATATTTTCTAGAGTTACTTATGTCCACAAATCATATGAACATCATTTTACACTTGTATATAATTTCTTCTCCTTCTGTTGTAAACATTACAGTCACCAAACTTTCCCTCCCAAAATCACGTTTAAATGCCTCAAGTTTTTGTACAAATAGGACCTTATTTCCAATTTTCCACAGCTATATTCCAATGTATCTGTCTTCAAGCTTCTTTTGTCCTGAGAAATTTCCTTTATTTGACACCATCTTTTCCTTTTTATCTGTTTAGTTTCTGGACGTTTCCTGTAGCAAATCTTATCTTTAGGCTTTTATTGTCCTTACCAAATCTTTTCATTTGGCACCCTGTTCTCCTCTTTGTCCGTTTAATTTTTTTTTTCACAGAGAGGTTTTGGACACTTTCTTTTATCTTTCCCCTTTCAAGTGCTTTATTTACTACTTCCTCCTGATTTACTTGTCTGGTTACTGCCTCCTCTTTCTCCTTCCCAACTATGGGGAGTATATCTTGGTCCATTTTTCCTTTCCAACATTCTTGCTCATTCTCCTGGTTCAGCTGAGTCTCAGGTGTTTCTTTTTTACTTTCAGTGTCCACAGACACATTCTGTTTTTTTTCAAGAAGATTTGAACATGCAGTCCTGACCGCCTGTTGGACTTCCTCAACTAAAATCTTTCTAAATTGCTCCCGTGTGAGCGTGCCAATTTCAGTGTTTTCCCATTCATGTCTCTTCCACCTCCATCTTTAACCTCTTTTAAATTGTTTTTCGCTGCTTCTTCTTAGATAATTCTCAATTTTAAAGTGTCTATAAGATTGACTCAATATCTTTAACAACCGGTAACTCGAATAAATACAGTAGCTTTCTTACCCCCGTCTCGTTTTTCTGACAGGAATCGCTGCTTCCCTTTTCACGACCGCTTTCTTCTCTAAGTTGCAGTTTCAAATGTGGGTATATCTCTAGCTTTTCCCCTTTCATTTCTTCTCTGCTTCTTCTTTTTTCCCCCCTCCTTCCCCCCACCCTTCGTTATGTTATAACGTTTGTCTTTAAAAATGGCTGGTCGCAGCTAGAGAAAGAACATGGCGGCCATGTTCTTTCCCCATCATTCGCTCCTGCTTCAGGGCCTATACGGCGACACCCCACACTCGTCAGGTTCTGCAGTGGCTGAGAAAAGCCCCCTGCCACCCGCCCTCCCTCCAGGAGGTCGGGCAAAGCCCGCCCGATTGCTCGGGGGGGGAGAATGAAAACGGGGTGGGCATCTCGAGAGCGTCTCGAGGATTGCCCGCTCGCCATGCCGTACCAGTTCCAGTTTTGGAAAGGAAGTATTATGAGAGAATAAGTGAGGATATAGCAACAAAAGGAAAAATGATGACTAGGTAATTAGACTGCTGATAAAGGCGACAATACAGATATTGAAGAGATTTATTAACAGACCAGTGACTCTGACGATGTAGGTATTCAGCTATTTGAATAATTAGATTAAATAGCAGCTTGGGAGACTAATAAGGTAATGGGTTATGTTATGTTATCTTAACTTGTTTGGATCAATTATTTTTTGTCTTGTCTTATATGTTGGAAAATCAATAAAAAAGAATTTAAAAAAAACCCACTTCAGAGAGCCTATGCAGTGCCTCCTCCGGACAATCTGAAGATGAGGAAAGACCTTGTGAGAGGAGGCATGGCATTTAATCCTCCAGATATGCATTTAGCTTGTGAGCAGTGACTAAGGAGTGATCCAAAAACCCTGTGTATAAGTTCAGAGGTGACTGAACTGGCTTAGTGTGCTTGTGGATGCCGCAGGTCAGGTGCCACAAAACAGTGCTTGACCAGTGAGTGGCAATAGTGGTTCAAGTAGGCACCGATATGTTAGCTGATGCCAATCACTCTTCATTACTGTACAAATGCTGTGTATACTGTGCTGTGCAAACCTGGACGCATTGCCTCCACTGCTAGAACTGAGCTGTAATGTCTACTTTGGTGTAGTGGTTAAATGCGCAGACGCTAATCTGGGAGAACCGGGTTTGATTCCCCTCTCCTCCACTCGCAGCTGCTGGATGATCTTGGGCAAGCCATAGTTCTGGCACAGCTATTCTTGAAAAAGAGCAGTTTCTATCAGAGCTTTCTCAGCCCCACCTACCACACAGGGTGTCTGTTGTGGGGAGGGGAAGGGAAAGGAGTTTGTAAGCCACTCTGAGACTCCTTTGGGTAGTGAAGGGAGGGGTATAAATCCAATCTCCTCCTCCTCCTCCTCCTCCTCCTCCTCTTCTTCTTTTTCTCTGGGTCCATGTTTCAGGCCCAGCATGAAAATCTTTCAAGCTTAGACTGGCAAACCTGGACGCATTGCCTCCACTGCTAGAACTGAGCTGTAATGTCTACTTTGGTGTAGTGGTTAAATGCGCAGACGCTAATCTGGGAGAACCGGGTTTGATTCCCCTCTCCTCCACTCGCAGCTGCTGGATGATCTTGGGCAAGCCATAGTTCTGGCACAGCTATTCTTGAAAAAGAGCAGTTTCTATCAGAGCTTTCTCAGCCCCACCTACCACACAGGGTGTCTGTTGTGGGGAGGGGAAGGGAAAGGAGTTTGTAAGCCACTCTGAGACTCCTTTGGGTAGTGAAGGGAGGGGTATAAATCCAATCTCCTCCTCCTCCTCCTCCTCCTCCTCCTCTTCTTCTTCTCTGGGTCCATGTTTCAGGCCCAGCATGAAAATCTTTCAAGCTTAGACTGGGTTCTAGCAATTTCCTGACTCATAGCAAGAGCCACAACAGCCTTTCTGTCTTCCAAGCCCTTTCAACCGTTTACACGTATCTTTGCTATGCCCTGGGAGTGGCTTTTGCATACCACTGGTAACCCACATTTAAGATGGTGGCTTGAAGGAGCATACCTAAAGTTGTTCTGGGAGCATACTGGTGAGTACACACAACTGACTCAGTCGTCTTTTCTTTTGATTACCATGCACTGAAATAATAACCGTGAGACTAGTTAATTTTGCAAATCAGGTCTCAATGCACCAAACGTATCCCAGGAGGAGGGGGAAGGAAGGAAGATGTTGAAGGATGCGTGGCAGATCTTAAAACATTGATCTTCTGTGCTATTCTAGTGATGCCACTACACTGTTAGATGCAAAATAGATATACTTGGAATATATCAAAGTGTGGTCTTAATGAACTGCCCTGCTATGTCTTGGTATAAATAGCTGTGCTTATTTCCCTGAAATGTCAATCAGCTATTAATGGCCCAGTTATAATGAAGAATAAATATGCTCCTTTGCTTTGATGCTAATGTTGCAGCTTGAAAGTTTAATGTTCTCATTTTCTTGTGTTAAGGAATTACCATTGCTGGAATGAGGCTTGGATGGCCAGACCTGACCTTCCTGTCGGCTTTGGAGGGTGGCAGGCTGTGGACAGCACTCCCCAAGAAAACAGCGACGGTGGGCTTATCATTCTTCCGTGTCCTACTGCATGACAGACTGTTTTCATTTCATTTTTTTTAACTGATTTCATGTAGCAGAATAACACTGTGACATATGCCTTCAGAATGGAAGGGTGATGCATACGAGAGAGGTGGTATGATCAGGACAGATATAAGGAATAATTCATGGAATGCATAATTAAAATTTTAAAAATGAATTATGTTACCGCAGCCCCAGCAAACCAATGAACATATGTTCAGATTAACATAAGGAATTAATCTGTGTGTTTGCTAGCGCCATAACGGGAGGCTTCCCACTGATCAACACTGTTGCCCCCCGCCGCTGTGGGAGAAAAACGAAAATGAAAACACCATTGGTCTCTGTGCCAATACATCAGGTACTTCTAGGAAGCATTGGAAACTCTATGGTTTTACCACAGCGTATCCAGCAATTCCTAGAGCTACCCATTGTCACTTCTGGGTTGTACCCAGATGTTGTATAGCGATGTTGCCAACGTCGTGGGTCCTGACCCCCTGCCCTCCCACTGGTTGCCAGACTTGAAAATCTTTGTGTTTATGCAAGGAGTGGAAAACAGGGATCTTTTACCTAAAGGGGTAGCTGGTAGTAGGGTGTTTGGCATGAAAAGGATGGTGGGGACCAGAGATAAAGGTTTAAAGAAATTGAGGGATGTGATACAATATTAGGGAGGGGAAAACCTTTCCTAAGCAAACAGTAACAAATACTAGATCAAATCACAGACAACAGGACATTCCTATCCAAGCTAAACAATATCACAAACAATTGCACTAACAAACAGAGCTTCTTTAGCTTGCAGCAAAATTCA